GCAGACATCCGTTGTCGCGACCGGGAGGTGACGCTACACTTATCTGAGGGAGACCACATCACGTTTTTCGGGACGAAGTCTCGAACTTTGCCGCGCGTTATTTCCATGGCGAAAGCAACGAAGTACATGCAGAGAGAGGATTGTCAGGGTTTTCTTGTCAATATCGTTGGGGAATCTTCGGAGAAGCTGTCTCCCGGAGATATACCCATTGTTCGAGAATTCGTGGACGTCTTTCCCGACCAGCTCCCGGGAGGACCACCTAATCGCCAGGTGGAGTTCACCATCGACTTGGTACCCGGAGCGGGACCAGTGTCGAAAGCGCCGTATCGTATGGCGCCGAAGGAGCTTCAGGAGTTGAAGGCTCAGATTCAGGAGCTTTTGAGTCTCGGTTTCATTCGACCGAGCGTATCACCTTGGGGAGCCCCTGTCCTCTTTGTCAAGAAGAAGGATGGGTCTATGAGGATGTGCATCGACTACCGGGATTTGAACCGGTTGACGGTGAAGAACAAGTATCCGCTTCCCAGAATTGAGGACTTATTCGATCAGCTGAGGGGAGCCAGTGTATTTTCCAAGATCGATCTCCGCTCTGGCTACCATCAGCTGAAGATCAGAGAGGCCGATGTGGCCAAGACTGCTTTCAGAACCCGATACGGCCATTATGAGTTCGTTGTGATGCCGTTTGGCTTGAGCAATGCGCCAGCTGTATTCATGGATCTCATGAACCGTGTCTTCCATCCATTCCTGGACCAGTTTGTCATCGTCTTCATTGATGACATTTTGGTCTATTCCAGCAGCCCGGAGCAGCATGAGGAGCACCTGAGGACAGTTTTGGAGACTCTTAGGCGTGAGAAGTTGTACGCCAAGTTCTCCAAATGCGAATTTTGGCTTGACCGAGTGGCTTTTCTAGGCCACATTATCACCTTCAGAGGGATTGAGGTTGACCCGAGCAAGATTGAGGCCGTCAGGAACTGGTCGACACCGAGAAATGCCACCGAGGTTCGGAGTTTTCTCGGTTTGGCAGGCTATTATCGGCGCTTCATCGAGGGGTTTTCGAAGATTGCCCTGCCCTTGTCTCGTCTGACGAGGAAATCGGTGAAATTTGAGTGGGATAGTCGTTGTGAGTCGAGCTTCCAGGAGCTCAAAGCGAGGCTTACGACGGCACCCGTGTTGACCATTCCGGACCCCACACAGGGTTTCACTATCTATAGTAATGCCTCGAAGCAGGGTCTAGGCTGTGTTTTGATGCAAGACGGCAGGGTTGTGGCTTATGCTTCCCGTCAGCTAATGCCGCACGAGGTGAACTACCCTACTCACGATCTTGAGTTGGCAGCAGTGGTTCACGCCCTGAAGATCTGGAGGCACTACTTGTACGGGGGCCACTGCGAGATTTATACCGACCACAAAAGCTTACAGTATATCTTCACCCAGAAGGAGCTCAACATGCGCCAGCGGCGATGGTTGGAGCTGGTGAAAGATTATGACTGTACCATCAATTATCATCCGGGTAAAGCGAACGTAGTAGCTGACGCCCTCAGCCGGAAAGGAAAGGGCGAGCTGACCTGTATGATCACTCAGCAGCGTCAGTTGATTCATGAGTTCGCTCGGATGCAGCTAGAGGTGGTCGAATCACCTCCCAAGTTGCCAGTTGTGGG